ACCGCCACCACCACCACCGTCCACCACCGCCGCCGTCAACGTCCACCACCACCCTCCACCACCGTACACTACCACCATTAATTTATATAGCACTCTACAGACATTAAAAAAACAAACAGTCTTCTTCTTGCAGACCGCAGACCTTCGGTCCACCACTTCTCCTGCAGATGTCTACAGTAGTGGTCCGCAGACCGCAGACCTTTTCCTGCAGAAAAAACAAACACCCCCTAAACCTCGGGAGAAACTAGCTTACCATTTAGAGCATGGCCAGTGGCGTGTCAAAATCACTGTCACGCATGTCACCTCATCACATTCCCTCTTTTCCATGGCAAGGCATAGCAAGGCACCTTGTAAGCCATGGCAAGCGCGAGCCATATATTTCCTTTTTTATTAATTTTTTTTGTAAAAGAAAGAATTTTTTTTTTATTTTTTAGAGGCAAGCGTAGGGGATTAGAGGCATTGTTTTCCATTTTTAAATTTTTTATTTTTTTCTGCTTTCCATTCTAACTCTTTAAAAAAACTTAACCCTTTTTTTAGTTGTCTTTCTTTTTTCTTTACAAACTATTTTTTTTCAAACCAATCTAAGACTAAAAAATATACAATTTTAAACATTAATTTTTTTTGTGAAATTAAATAATTTAATTTAAAAAAAATAATTTTCTCTTTGTACAATTAAAATCTTTGCAAGAAAAAAATTATATAAGTTTAATAATTTTTTATCTATTATTAAAAATAGATAATCTATAATCAAATTATAAAAAATATTTTAAACAATAAATAAAACAAGAAATATTTTAAAAAAATAAGTTTGGCACAAGAGCACTTGTGGACCGACCCGCTGCGTGGTGTTAGACGCAGCCCCCCCCCTCCTGCAAGCATTCTTCGTCGAACAGTACAACCCTCTATGCCGCACAGTGAAAATTCCTCCCCCTTTTGTGACTCGTAAGCGTTCTTCGAGCTTGTTTTTAAAAATTTATTTGGTATTATTTTTCACTTATTACTAATTATTATTAGAACAAGATTATCGAGTTTAAATATTACTTCCTTCGTCCATGAGTATTCGTCCATTTTTGACTTTTTGATAAAAATTGATAAACTTTGACCTCAAATTAAATAAAAATGATATTAGATATTGATAGAAAAATAGTTTTATTAGATTTATTGTATTAAATATTTTCAGAATATTATTTTATCTAATATAAAAATGCCATATTTGAAAACTACATTCAAATTTGTACAAGAAAAGTTCAATTCATTTTATTTGAATATTGGGACATAAATATAAATAAAATTTATATATATTTAAAAATCATATTAAAAGTTTTACAAAAAATGACAAGAATTTTATATTTAATTAAATAATCAATGTAAATATACAAATAAACATAAATTATAGAAAATTTGGAATTGAAACCAATTGTGGAAGAGGAACTAAAATTATTGTCCATGCTCGGATTGAGTATTTGTGTTTAATTTAAGAGAGATGTTAGTGATACATCAAATGTGTACTATCCATCTTGTAATCACGTACTTTTATCTATTTTTTATTTTTCTTACCTGCATAAGTATGTGGTATTAGAACACTTGAGATACAACTAGCATTTTTCTTACTTTATCCATCCTAAAACAAAAACAAAGTTCTTATTTTGGTTTCTGGATAGGTTTTTTTGTTTATTCGTTTTGGTAGATCATTTGATAAATTAAAATATTCTTATCACATCTTATTTTATAGAACTTTTGATATAATTTTAAATGATGTACCCCAGTAATTTTTTTACTTTTTAGTTCTCTATCAATTTATTAATAAAATAATTTTTAAAAAATATTTATTCGTTGTAAAAATATTGTACGTACTCCGTCCCTAATTTGATTACAAATTTAGAGTTACGAGTCAAAATCTCTTATCTTTTGAAATCATTTTATTTACAAATTGGTACATGAATAAGAAATAAAGATTACATATTAAAAAATACATCAAAAGTTCTACAAAATGAGAGGTGATAAGAATATTTTATTTTATCAAAATACTCAATGAAAACACAGAAATAAATAAAAGTTATTTAGAAAAAAAGAAAAAAAAAGCTTATAATCTATTTTGGTATCAAGGAATAAAAAATTTGAGTGGGAGAGATTAATTTAACTTGTTTGTTTTGTTTTTAGGCCAAAGTGGATGAGGGGCAGGTGGGAAATGGTCAAATCATTCCCTTCTGGCACCCGCAAACGTTTTCAAATCCCTTATTTTTACCGTGTCTTTACTTTAACGGTCCATACTCTGCTCCTTTTGACTTTCTGGCACCACTCGAATCTCACCCGCCCGATTCACACACCCCATCTTGCATTTCCATTGTTTGGTCAATGGTCTTTTTTTAAAATCCCTCTTCTCTCTCCTATCACTCTTCCACGTGGACCCCTACCATTCGCTCGCCTCTTTGACTGTTATAAAGTCAGAAACAAAATATTTCGAATATTTAGAAAACATAAATTAAATGTGATGGAAAGAGAAAACTTAGCATCTTAAGTTTGACTCTCTGTTGCCCCTCCGATTTCTCTCTCTTCTCCGTTTTAATCGTCTCTGGACTTTGCTCTGTTTTTTACTTCTCCCACAAAATTCCTTTTTCTCTCTCTCTCTTTGACTCCATAGCCACGGAGATCTGTAGATATTGCTTTTGTTTTTGTATGGTGGGATATTGATATATAGTTAGATGGCTGTGGAGTTAATGTCTGGTTACCGGAACGCCGGATTCGCCGCCGCCATGACGGAGGACGACGCGGTCAAAGAGGCGGCCGCCGCAGGACTCCAGAGCGTTGAGAATCTCATCAGGCTGCTTTCTCAGTCCCGCCACCAGAATATTGGGTTTTCTTCCGCCGTGGAATCCCCCGGCGCCGATTACCATGCCGTTGCGGACGTCGCCGTGGGTAAGTTCAAGAAGTTCATTTCTCTGCTCGATCGGAACCGGACCGGACACGCCCGGTTTCGGAGGGGGCCGGTTTGCAACCCGCTGCGGAAGAAGGCGGATCGTGAGCCGGAACCGGAGGTGTCGGGTCAGTATCGGGTTGTTGACAGCTCGGAGAAGCAGCACACGGGCGGGCAGACGAAGGGGTATCCTCCGTCGCACGTTCAGGCCGTTCAGCTACTGCCGCCGCTTCCTCACGGCCACCACCAGCTGCTGAAGACTGGGTCCGCCGCGATCGAACGGAAGGAGCCGTCGGCGACCATCAATTTCTCCGCCTCCCAGGCGACCTCCGGCTCTTTCGTTTCGTCGCTGACGGGGGAAACAGAGAGCTTCCAGATAACGAATCTCTCAAACGTCTCATCCGCCGGAAGGCCGCCGCTGTCAACGTCGTCGTTTAAGCGGAAATGCAATTCATTGGACGATTCTGCCCTCAAGTGCGGTAGTGGTGGTGGGTCCGCATCTGGACGTTGCCATTGCCCAAAGAAAAGGTAAAAAGTCAACGCCAAGGAATAATCATTTATTATTAATTTATGACATCTTTACTAATTAAAGATTTTTTAAAGGCATTGACAAATAAATCTAACCCGTTGATTTGATCTTAAATAGGAAATCAAAGGTCAAAAGAGTGGTTAGGATCCCTGCAATTAGCATGAAAATGGCTGATATTCCACCCGATGATTTTTCATGGAGAAAATATGGGCAAAAGCCAATTAAGGGTTCCCCACACCCCAGGTATTTATCTCTAATCTCATTTAAATTTATAAAATTGTCTTTGTTGAACAAAAAAAAAGAGATTCCAGTTCTGATATTAAACTCATTTATTGGTGCTTTTGGAGCCTAGATACGTTTCAAATGTGTTTTCCACTGTCATTTATTGATTTCAAATTTACCCAAATACATTCCGGATTCATTTGGTATATGAAATTGACAGAATTAGAAATAAAATTTTACAAATTCCCTAATTTCAATTTATTTTGTGTACTTACAATTTCAAATTCAACTATTTATATGCTACAAAACACCAGAATTGAAACTGAAGCGTCCAACTCCAATTACACGACATGAATCTTGTGTATCAAACGGAGCTTCATTTCAATTTCATGGTCATAATATTGCGAAATCAAGTTTTTTTGATTAAATTCGCACCAATACAATGGATTTATTGAGCTCTGTGAAAAGAGAAAAACTAAATTAATTATGCAAAAAGCTCATATTTTACATGTGAATCACGATCATAAATTAATTAGAATTGGTTTGAATTTACCAGGGGTTACTACAAGTGCAGTAGCGTACGAGGATGTCCAGCCAGAAAGCACGTGGAGCGGGCATTGGACGACCCGACAATGTTAATCGTAACATACGAAGGAGATCACAACCACTCGCAGGCGATCGCGGAAACTCCGGCCTCCCTAATCCTCGAATCATCCTGACCGTCGGTCGAATCGGACGGCGCAGAGCCGGGGAGGACGTACAGCAAGGTCAAAATCAGAGTAGAAAAATCAACGCCGTCCACGACAAAGGGGAGGGTTTGGTCAACGTTGGGTGCGTCATGATTAGGTTCCCATATGATTTGTTCTCTCCGTTTATTCGCCGTTGAAAAAAAAACAATTTTTAAAGATAAAGAGATTAAAAGGGAGTGGTGGATTTTGGTTGGAATTGAATCGGGTGTAAGCTGTGGTGGGGTCCGTTGCATAAAATGTATGCTTTCCTAACTAATACGTGTCTTTTGTCCTCTTTACATTATTGTGATCAATGTTTTTTTAATTTTTTTAAATTATTCTTCTTTTTTTAATAATACTTGAGAAAAAATTTCCCCTCTTTAAAGGGTTTTTGAGTAATGTACAAAATAATGTGGTGAACTATATATATTAGATGTCTGAGATATTTTTAATTCTAATTATTAAGTGAGTATGGTGGTGTTGTAATTTAATACTCCTTCTGTCTTAAAACTTTCTTTCCATTGCGCAAAACGAAGAAAAATTTCAAGTTTTTTCAATCTATTTTATTTAAATATTGGTATAGAAATAAAAAATAAAACATACATATTTAAAAAGTACATTAAAAGTTCAACAAAACAAGTGGTGACAAGAATATTTTATTTTATCATATAGGCCATGAAAAAACACAAATAAATATAAATTCTTGTGAAGTTGGAATAGTGCTCTGGGAAGAAAGTTTAATGACGGAGGGAGTAATTCTTTCGTCTCTTCCCTTTTCTAAAACTTTTCAATCTTTCCCAGTTCAATCGAGTTCATTTTGGGTATATGAGAGCACTGGCAACGGCGTGCCATTTTAGGTGCCACGCTGCCAGATCAGATCTGCCTTGCACCAACTCAGCAATTGCCTCGCTTTCCTTGTGCGTTCTCCCACGGTAAGTGAGGCAGCCTCAAGGCTGCCATGCTCTATTTTTTATTTTCTAAATTATGTTAAAAATTTAAAAAATGACTGTACATTTTTTAATTGGTTAAATTATGTCACATCAGCGTGTGGCATTCCATTTCTTTACTTGCAATTGTGAATGCTCTGAATCATTTCAAGGTCGAGCCAAGGTTTGTAGGTCATTGTTAACAACATATCTTTGCTCTTATTAGAAACTTCGAATGTATTTAAGAAGAAATATCAATTAAAACTGCTTTATATATTCCATAGTAGCTCTCCAATTTTTTTTGAGAAAATAAAATTCATAATCTCAAATAATGCTAAAAGATAAGGGCTTTGGAAGCCACGGGACACTTCACTCTCCCGTAGGTACGGGGAGGTGATTATCCTACGGTACACCTATTTATCAGGTGTAGTATAATACAAAGTGTTAGACGTTTATTGGAGTAGAAAAAGGTCGTAAATTTGAGATAGGGTTTAGGGTAGGACGACAGACGGCAAAGGCAGGTACAGGGCAATAGAGTAAATGCCTCATTAACTTTTTTGTTTGATGTGTTATTTCGCAAAGTTTTCTCTATCTTCAGCGCTGCACCCCTGCCTTCCCGTCACATACTCACTTTGCATCGCACCAGAGAGACGCCAGAACACCGGCCGGCCACCATCGCTGACAAAGTTCCCGATGGTTTTGTTCCCTTCGTCAATCAAAAAGGTATTAGTCTCAAATCCATTTGTTGATCTTCACTTTTGGTATTCAATTTCCAACCCTAATTAGGATATAGCATATTCTTTCTTAAATTTTGGTTTGGAACAATAGGTGGATGTTAACCCACTATCTATTCCTTTACAAAATCAGCAAGGGGGTGTTTTTGTATGGATATGTGAACCACATTTATTCCCTTGGATAGAAGGTGTAGTTTGAGGTTGGAATTCAGCATCATTATCTTTGGAAAAGTCAGCCCTAGAAACTTCAAGTTCAGCCTCTAGTTCAGGTTCTTTTTCAATCTCAACCCTTAAGGGTTCACTTTTTCCAAGAAAGTCAGATTCCTTTAACATTTCAGCTCCTAATGCCTCACTTTTTTCATTAAATTCAGCTTCTAACTCAGAATTTCTCTCAAAATCAGCCTCAAAAGTTTTAAAATCAAGCATTAGAGTTTGAGTTTTGTCACAGTCAGATTCTATTTCATAATCAGCTCTTAAAGTTTGACTTCTCTTGAGAGAATCAAGTTTAAAATCAGATTTGACCTCAAGATTTGTTCTTACAGTTTTAGTCTGGTAAGGAAAATCACATTCAAATTCAGAATGACTTTCAAAATCAGCTCTTGAAGTTTGAAAATCAGATTCAAATTTCTTCTCAAATGGTGTTCTCTCCATTTCATTTTAAGGCGAAAATTTATTTTTAGAGTCAAAAGCACATTCAAAATATTCCCATCCATAAACACTTTCAAACTCAAAGTCTTGTTTGAGTTCAACTTCATCGTGAAGAGGGAATTGTACACAAGCAAAGGTTTGACTTTGAGGCTCCTTTTGAAACATATTTGCAAACTGATTTAGAGACTGAAATTCATTTTGTAAATCATTCAGGGCTTTTTCAGAATTCATTTGCCTTTGAAAAAGTTCATTTATACCTCTGTCAGAGTTGGACAGTTTGGAATCCATTCTGTCAAATTTTTCCAACATACTTTCAAAAATTTGATTCAGTTTACCACTAGAATAGGGTTTGTTTTCACAGTAATCAGATTGAAATGGTTGAGAATAGCAATTACTCCTACCATTTTTATAAGCATTTTAAGCACAAACTGAACTGAACCCATAAAAACCATTCACATGTTGAGAAAAATCAGATTCCCTTGGCTGATAATTGTAATTTGAATAAGAAAAGGAGTGTTCATTCAAATTGGATTCCTAAATGTCAGAGTGAGCTTGTTGAGGAGGGGCATATTCAACATTTTGATAAATATTTGAATGTTGGTTCATGTTAGGATTAGAGAAACCACAAGTTTGATCACATATACGAACACTCAAATAAGAATAAGCAAAGTATTTGCACTGTTGAGTGCTATGTCCTTCCACTAAACAAATTTCACACTTAAGCTCTTATTTTTCATTTCATCAAAATAATCACAGATTTGAAATATCCTACACACTTCCAGTGCTCTTTCTTGATCAGATTTGGAAAGGGCAGGGTATTCAGCACAGGATTCCATATTTAAGAAAACAGATAGTACAAGTGAGGTCAAGAGAACATACCTCAGCTGCTCAACTTACTCCTCAAATGTATTTACTAGCCCAGAACTGAACCAAGACACGATAACAGACTATTCTAAGCACACAAGAGAATCAAACAGATATGTTTCTTTTTGAAAAACCAAACAGTAGCTAAACAACAGAGAGCAAGCACACAAACTTATCAAACATAAAACAAACTAAAACAACTTAAAAGAGTGCTAAGAAGAAACAAGTTACTCTCCCCGTTGTATATGAGTAAGGGGATTCCCTACTTGCTTCAGGAGTTGGAGGTCTATTTTCGTTTATATAAAATGTTTATTTATTGTAATTTAGTGCCAATAAATTTTCAAGGAATTGATGTATAGAGTATGTTGGATGTATAGAGTATTTTCAATTTGCTTTTTGTGTTAATCTCTTTGTGATCTTGAATGTAGTTTAGCATTACTCTGTGTGGAAGGCAATTAATAGACTAAAAGTGACCAAATTTCAAAACTGAATTGCTTCATGAAATAGGCTAAACCTTTATTCAGCTTAATTACTGCTTTATAGCAGAAGAGAATATCCGAAAAAGAAAAAGAATAGGCAATCGATAAGAGTTATTGATTTCTTTGCTTATTCTGACCCTCTCCTTACTATGAGATGGATTAGTTGCTCTGGTGGTATTTCCTTGTTCATTATGGCTGTGTGTGTGGTCTTATTTGGATGCTTTGTATGGTTGCTGATTCTTGGAAGTCTTTTTCAGAACAGAAGCCATTACTCAGCTAGGGTTATGGAGAAGTTAGGGTATTATGGGTACAATCTTCCCAATTCTTGTATGTTTTTGATATGTGCCATGAACTACAATCTTTACGTCAGTATGATCTTAGAGAATATCCAGGTTTTGCTTCATTAGTACCAGTGCTGGACAAATCTAATTATGTGTCCCATCCAGGTTGTTGTGGTAATAAGTTAGGCCTGCCTCTAAGTAGAAGCTGAGCATACCTGATTCTGTGTCCCATCAAGGTTTTGCTTCATAATATATTTTCCTAACCTTGGTGGGTGTGATTTTGAGTAGTCAGGTGGTGTTGGCCTACCTTATTAGGTGCATTCTGAGTTTCGTCCTACCCGTATGGTGCATTTGGGTTTTTTTATTGTTGTTTGTTTTATCCCATGGCATTTGGTCTTCTTGACCTGTTTGTGGCATTTGGTCATGTCCCTGGAGTAGTATTTTCTTATTTGTTTGATCTTATGTGGCATTGGTCATGCCATAGCTTAGTTTATATGTGTTTGTAGTTCTGACCTGTTTGTGGCTTTGGTCAAGCCGTATGATAGGATCCCCTTGTTCCTTTCTTTGTTTTCTTTGTACTCCCTGGTCGGTTTGTCTTTCCTAGGAGGGGTTGGATTTTGGCTTTCCTTTGGCCATCTCTCACCTTGTAGCTATGTGGTATCTTCATAGGGTGGCATAGAGTCGTCTTCTCTATCACTTCTGTGTCATATAACATCTGGATGGAGCTTTTACACATTGCCGTGCTACAAACGAGATTTTCCCTCCTCTGGTAATACTGAACATTTGTATTATAATACTTTGTACTAACAATTATTATTATTATTTTGATGATGCATCTAAGATTCATATGTCTAACAAGATTACTCAATGCAACCACCTGCCCACAACTATTCTTTCCTCTCGAAATTGAGTTTTTTGCATCTGTACTTTTAGGTTGGTCTGCATATTGAACTTTTTTGGGACATTGCGCCTAAGTATGTGCTGAGGATATATATTCGGCTTAGTTGTGCTATTTGTCATCAAACTTTTGGTTGGAAATGCTGATTCAAGGCTGATTGAGGGTGATCATCAGGCTTATACTGCCAAAATGTTATATGCTTGAAGACAAAATGACGACAATATGTCATCACTACACAGACTTATGGGTTTGATTACATGTATCTATGTTTTTCATTAGGTTTTTGTTGAATGTATTGGACAATTTTTGTAATCTTTTTTTTGAGAGGCTTCGGTTGGGTCCTCTCCTAGTGTACTCTTACTTTTTATTAGTAATATTTTTTTTTCTTAAAAAGTGTGTGCAAGTACTTTACACTAGAGTTTTTAAAATAATGTTATTATTTTTTTGGTTTATTCACGGTCTACAATCCTCACCTTACACATCGGATAAAAATGACTTTACACAACGAAAAGCATCTGATGTAAATTCAGCACCTTTCCCATCGGCTAGATGTAAAGCGGCTATATTCCGATGTGTAACGCTAATTTATTCGATGTGTAAAGTATATTCTGTAGTAGTGAATTTTGATGTTTTGTAGCATAAAAATTTTGTTGGTTTGAAATTGAATCATTTTTTCAAAATTATCAAATCTCACATTTTCAATTATTTAACACTACAAAGACTTTGAAATTCTTAATTTAGGCTCCGTTCCGGTCAATTTTTTTCTTATTTTTTCTTATTCTTATTAAAATCAGATCAGATCACAACATATTTATTTAGATCGGATCAGATTGAATCAGATCAGATGACATCCAATTAGATCAGATCAAATTCAATAATATCAAATCGAGAAAAATATAAATAATACGGAGTAACATTTATATTTTTCAAGGATTAAATAATAATTACTATTATTGGATTAAATCACATTACTTTATTTAAAACTACAACTACCTAAATCTTAATCAATACTATTATTATTTTAATTATTATTTTTGTTATATTATTATTAGTATTGTTGTTGTTGTTGTTATTATTATTATTATTATTATTATAATACAAACCATTATTTTTAATAATTGCTTAGCTTCTAAGATAGCATGGAAGCAATGTTAAAACTTAAAAAGTAGTATTTTTCATACTTTTAAAAGAGTTATTTTAAAATACTTGTTTATAAAATAATTATAAAAAACTTAGTTTTCAAAACCATAAATACTTTATACTCAAAAAAACTTACTTTTAAACTTTAAGATGATAGAATATACATAAGGGTGAGGTTATGACGAAATTCATAGAGGTGAAAGGAATACTAGTGTTTAAAATTTTATATGATCTTTAATTTGTGGCATGAAATATATTATTATGTAATATACATATAAAATGAGATATTTTTTAGACCTTGGCAAACAAGAGTCGGCCCCTCCGGCCCGCCCAGCCCGCCCTTTAAAATAGGCAGATATGGACAATCTTTAATACTCACATGGGCGGGCCGGCCCAAGCCCAAATTGTATTTGGGCGGATCTGGAAGTTACTTTTAGTCCATCCGGGCCAATAGGTCTGCCCATATTCATTAAATACATTTACTTTATTATTAATTACCTAGACAATATAAATTTTAAAATTTTCTTTAATTCATGTATAATAGTTATATCACTCACCCTCTTAAACAAAAATTAATAGTTTTTTAATTAATCTGTATGATGGATTTATTAATTATGTAACAACATTTCTATTATGTTTTTCATGTAAATGTGGTGAGTGGTAATTTTATTTTAAACATTTTAAACCGAGTTCAATATTTTCTTTTTGATTTTTTTGTGTAAAAAAGATTTTCTTGATGTTTTATACAGGACGGGCGACCCGGTGGGCAGTTTGGCCCGCTAAGGTGGGCGGGTATGGGTAAAGAGTTTAACCCATCAAATTTGGGCCGGGCCAAGCCCGCCCATGCAAATGGGCTAATAATTTGTTTCAAGCCCAGCCCAAATCAGGCCCGGAGCCTTATTTGCACAGGTCTAATATTTTTGTAGAATAGCATTAATATTTTCTAATATTTAGTTATTTTAATCCAGATTATTTAGTTTTTAATGAATTAAAAAATTATGATATTGAAAAGATGTTTAATATTTTTTAAAAAATTTTAAACATATCAATGATTAGCTAATTTTCTTATTTTACTTTTTTATGTATATATGAATTGCAAAACTTTAAAACTATTAAATTTTGTAATAATTTTAAGTTTAATATAAATCAAATTTAAATTCATTTACACTAGATCTAATTAGATAAAATCAGATCCAATCAGATCAGATTCAATCAGATTAGATTAGTTCCAATAAGATTATATCAGATCCAATCAGTTCAGATCAGATCTAATCTGGTTAGATCAGATTCAATCAGATTAGAATTCACTATCTAATTATTTGTTATGAGTTGTTGTGTTATTGTTATGTATGTTTGAGCTGGCAAATCAGTCGGTCAGGTCAGATTCGGGTTTGGTCACTTCGAGTTCGGGTTATTTTGAGTTCGGGTTAATTCGGATTCGGGTTGAGAACTACGTATTCATGACCCAGTGCCATCGGGTTTGGGTCGACCCAACGGCTGTGACAATTATATTTTCTATTAAATAAATCTTAAATATCAAAATAAATTTATTAAATATATTAGATTATTTTATTATAAATTCTGAAGTAATTTTTGGATATATAAATAAATATAAGAAATTTAAAAAATGCTTAGGATTTGTAAAAAAATAAGATAATTATGCAATATCATTAAAATTTTGTCTGAAAATACAAATTAATACACTAAAAATGAGTAGTAAACTATATGATTTTAAAAAATTCTTACTTTAGCAGGTCGGTCATGTCGGGTTCGGTCGGGTTTGACACGTTATTAGCAGGTCATTTCAATGTGCTATGATATTTGACTGGATTTTAGTTTAATTTGTTTTGAATTTCATAAATATTGGATTTAGACTACATCTTGTTTGCCTGATCTGATTTGATATTGTCTGATTTGATCTGATTGTAGCAATAATTTAAATTATTTTAATAATTAATAAGTTGATTTTTGTGACATATTAAAGTTTAAATTAAGTGTGTTTGTTTTCATCCAAAATTGAACCTGACCATCTCGAACCAAAAATTTCAAGATTGGGGTCAGTACGACGTTAAATCTCACACCGAACCAAAATATTTCATATGATATCAGTACGAGCTTAATATCGTACTCCCTCCAACCATTTAAGATCTTCCCATTACGCGTACGAGGTTTGATCGACTTTATTTTCAATTCAATTTTATTGATTATGGGATAAAAATTTTGAAATAAAATTTATATAGTAATAAACTACACGAAAAGTTCTACAAACTAGAGGTCACAAGACTCTATTATTTTATGAAATGACTAGTAAAAATAAGCAAACAAAGTGAGTGAGCTTGACTCTATGAATAGAATCTGGAAAGATTTATGGTGGACAGGGAGAGTATTATACTGTACCATATTCAACCCCACTATGTATATTTCAATGAGAGGAGGAATTTTACTTCCTCCATCCCTAAATAGATAACAATTTTTTTCCTCTCCTTTCGATAACTTTTGCTTGTTTACGCAATTTCATTAAGTATTTGATAAAGTAAAATATTCTTGTCACTTCATGTTTTGTTGAATTTTTGACATAGTTTTTTAATATGTAATTTTTATATCTTATTCATATATCAATTTTTAAATAAAATGATTTAAAAAAGTAGAAAATTTTACTCCGTAACCAATAATTTGTAATCAAATTTGTAATCAATTAGGGAGAGAAGTAAATAAAAACCCCAAATCACTCCTTGCCGTATTGCCGTGCCCTGCTATGCTACAGACGATATCTTCCCTTTCTTCATTAGGTTTCAAGTGTCAACATGAATTCTTCTTGGACTCAACCTCAGCGCATTATAAATAGTTCTTATTGGGGAGGTGTTTACGATTCCCAGCATGAAATTGCAAAATCATCACAAATTTCACCTTCCTCCCAATTCAATAGGTAATCCTGATTTTCCATATCTTCACAAAGTTTTTAATTGATCCTAATTTCATTTAATTTAATCCTTGTATCCACAACTTTTTTTCATTGCGGCTGACTAATATTTGCTGTCAATTTCATAAAGTTGTATGCTAATCCTTGTATGCTAATTTCATTTTTGCTAAGAATTTCTTATAGTTTTTCTTTGAATTTCATAAATTTTTAAGCTAGTCGTTGTAAGCTAATTTCATTCTTGTTTTGAATATCATACTTTTTTATACATTTTCTAGAATATATCATTTGTTGTAAAGAAGATACAGATTAAGCAATTGTGTTGTGTGTTTTCATTTGTTTTTCCTAGAAGATGAGCATATCTGATTATGTGGTTCTTCTTGAGGTGTGATTTTCTTGTGAAACAAATTCCCAGATTTGAAGTCTTCAAATTAATATTGCTTATGTTAATTTTCTAAAAAGAAGTTTCTTTTTATTTAATGGGTTTTCAAGAAAAGAATTTGTAGTCTACTTTTACTTATATTTTGTCTTCCATTTGTTACCCATCCATAGGATGAAATTGAAGGGAATAATATGTCATATAGTACTCCAGTCCCTTTACTTATATGTCGCCTGGCAATTTAAAATCATTAAATTTTAAAATTTACTTTTTTCAATTGGTGTTAATAAATATCAATGCCCAGTCTTTCTTGCAGACTTGCAACCTCATGGCTCCAAAAGTTAAGAAGTCATTGTATTTGCTTTCTCGTATCCGTGCAGAGAACAATCAATTGGCTAGGAAAAGACTTGCACTTAGAAAAAGATCCCCTTCAATGGAAGAATTTAAGGAAAACATCAAGAAGGCTTCTTTGATTGAATTATCGTCAAGGTAATGCAATACAATACTTTATCATTCTATTTATTACTCCTGTGCTATTGACAGTAGTGGCAACTATAATCATATTTGCATACTCACAGTGGTTTTAATAGTAATTCTCGTTGTAGAGTTGAGGTAGGTGTTAAACTTAAAAATGATTTTGGGAAGATATTATTGTGTATTAATTTTTTTATTCCTTAGCAGATGTGAAAGTGTTCCTAATCAGAACTCCCCTGATAAAGATGAAGTCGATAGTCCAGACAAGAACATGGTAAAGAAGCGTAATATGTTATCTGTAATCATTTTCTAAATTGTGCACCTATTAATTTTTTTGTGTGTTCTGTTAACTTTCAAAGGTTACAAAAGAAGATTTTGTATTGCTTAAGGAGTCAGTACATGAGATGTCGAAGGTTGTCACCAATCTGAATGAGATTATAATGCAGATTGGTGGTACAAGCCGTCTACAGCAGGATACATCTAAGAAAATCTCTCTGCCAAATGATAATCATATGTTGGCAAGTAGTTGCAGGCAGTTGTTCATTCCTCGTGCAAGGGGAAATTCAACAGATTGTTATATTAACTACAACCGGATGAACACCCCGTTCTATGATGGGAGATCAGCAGGGATTACTATACCCGAGGTAAGTATTTTCGGCATACACATACAAATATCATTCCAATGAGGTTCATGAAATAATTATACTTAAGCGCTATTAGAGAATAACGAGTTTCTTGAACAATATCGTAATACTAAACAAAGAACAGTATTGACCAAAAAGTTACAGAAACCTCAAATTCATTAATGCACAAAATCATATATCTAGTATATTACCAACAAATGATGCTATATAATCTCAATGACCTTAGAGAACTTGCGTTATAACTAGTTTTCTTGTAGTGGATACCAATTCTTTTCAGGCCTCCGACAAGGATGATTTTAAATGAAGTGGAAGCTGGAATTGTTGCATATGTTTTTGGCCGCAATAAGGATTTTGACACGTACAAGTTCTGAACACTCATATTAATTCGTATTATGCTTTAATGGTACAATGTTTAAGACTGCTTCACGTAACCGTGTATAAATGTAATGTCCCTAGGGAAGAGATCCTGATTGACACAAATTACATGACGGGAAAAAGGGAAGCACTTAGATCTCTTATCCCCAACGAAATGATAGACGGAGAGGTAAGTGATTATATTCTTGTTTTTATTTCGTATGTTACTAAATACGCATAGCAAAACCTGTTCTTAAATACGCAGGTAATGTCTTTGGTTGCTTGCATGCTTTCCTTTCAACAACAAGAAACAAGGTGTTGGTTCTTACCACCGGTCTTCGCGGTAACACATCCCAAAAGCATCTCTTGTCTAATATAATTCCCAAATAAGAAAAATAATTAATATTTTCATGATTCTATGATGCCAGCAATTCGTTCTTGGCTGGACTCGTTCTCCGGATAGGGTCAGGGAAATTTTAAAGGATACTTTTTTTGGCAAAGTTAATGGATTGAGAAAGGTAACAATTTCATCTCATGAATCAACTGTTGTGCTCAATTATTATTATCCGGATCAATATTATTACTATAATCAGTACAATTATTATTACTATTAGTAATTTTTATTATTATTACTATTATTAAAAGAAACTTTAAAATTGATGTTAAAAATGCAATGTTTATGTAGATATTTGTACCTATTAATGATGGAAAGCTTCACTGGTTTCTCCTCGTCGTTGATATTATAAGAAAGGAACTAACTTTGTTAGATTCTTTAAAAAGCCCATCGACATTCGACGAAAGGAAGAGGATTGTACGCCTACTGGTAATGAAAAAAACTGCATACGCATAATAATGACCTCTAATTTCTGTTTTCAATCAACATTTAATAAGTTAAATAATGTGTTTAGGCAATATTTATGGATCAAATGTTGGAGCATAAATCTTTTTACCACCAGCACAGTGTCATCGAGAAACCAAAAGTATCAGAATTTGCTATTGTGGAGCCAAAAAGTATAGGTCAACAAGCACAAGGCTCGTAAGTGAACTTGTCTTAAATCTCATTTATGTTCTTTAATTTAATAAAGTCTATACATAATATTTATCTTTTAATATGTTTATTTAGTAATGATTGTGGAATTTGGGTGGCAACTTGGATGAGGGAATGTATATGGGATGAAACATATAACATACAGGTTTGAGATCCCTTAAATTAGAATAATTTTCCAGTAATGATTTTTTTTGTTCGTGAGTACTTTTCATTAGTTTTTAAACAATCTACTGCAGGTGAACAGAGAATCAAGGATGCGCCTTGCAATAGATTTGGTCAATCATCCATACAACAAGATGAATGATCAAGTTATAGCGCTTTCAATGCGGAATTGGGAGAGTCTAGATAGAGAAAACAAGAAGCTTGTGAAAATCACAGTATAGTGAACTTGATATTAGTAGTTTTAATGCTTTCTTTTCCATTGAACAATCATAGACTTTGTTATTTTTTTCCAGGGGGTATCAATTACAAATGGTGAACTAAAATTTGGTCGTTTATGAAATATTAGACTGATTGGATATTTGTATTCTTTCTAATATCTTTATTATATGCTAGATTATTAGTTTCTATTGGTTATTGTTAGAATAAATTGTACTACGTATAGTTTAGAATGTTGATCTCATGAGATTTCAATGATTCATTTACGTTTTCCCTTTCCTACGCTAAAAAGTAAGGCATATATGTTTGGTGCTTAATGTTAAGTGTAAATACAAACAACGGATTATATAGGTTCAACCACATTTGATGTCGTATTGTGTGTTTGATTGTATGTCAATCCCAAAAACCAATCACACTGCTGCAATCCAGAGAATAAGCCAGATAGTTCTTTGTACACCAATTGCATGATGGAATGTAGCCACAAAGTAACTGCTTTATGTAAAATGTCATGTGAGGCATATGATCCTACGACTGCATACAAGTTTTAGTGTTTTCTTTTCAATTAAGCAATCATAAACTTACTTAAAAAAGGGACGTAGCTTTCAGATCAATTCTCTTTGTTTATTTTTTCAATCTTTATTACGCTATTCTTATTATTTTTTCAATTTTAATTACAGCTATTGTTACGGAGTATGGAGTATTATTTTTTCAATTTTTATTAAGCTATTGTTAATACTATTTTTTTGGAATGGGATTAATTTCGTTTTTTGCTTGTTTACTTCTCCTGATATTGTTTGAGTAGTGCATTAATAGTGATTTGTGATTTTTATAATTTTAGTTAAATTCAGTTTTGTTTAGAAAAATTGTCATTTATGGGCAAAATTGGAAATAATAAATGCATATAACAGTCAAATAAGATGTTGGACATGTAGACAATAAAAAGGGAAATTGACATATACTACTACAACATCACTCTTCTTTTTTAATTTTAAAGTCATCCTATCTATGCATGATAGAATAAAACATTACTCCGTATTTTGGAATAAATCTGCAAAAAGTAAAAAAAATCAATTTCTACACACAGTAAGTTAAAATTACAAAATGAATCGAAGATTCATGGTTACAACTTTCAATTTTTATTTTCTATTTTTTTTTGTTTTCTTTCCTGGTAGCCATGAAATAATTAAAGAATGCAAAGGGATGTGGTTACTGATTTGCACTTCATATTCAAGTGATGTTTGTTTTAACTTGATGATAATACAGGTGAAGCTAGTCTTCTTGGTTGGTGGTTTATCTGCAAAAGACCTATCTTTGGTTCAAATTTTAATCATGCGTGCCGGGTCAAGGTCATTTTTATCACACATTAATATGCGTGCCGGGTCAAACCGGGAAGTTCTTTTTTGGACGGAGGGAATAAGTATTTTCTCTCAACAATATGACGGTAAACTTCAGCAACGTGTGCAATAATAGAGTGACCATATCATGGATCGTTAATATTCAGCCATATATGAGAACTGTGTAAGTTTCTAGCGTTTTCGTTCCTCAATTAAAGCTCCTAACATTAATATCCTCGATATACACACATTCATAGAAACATGCCGTATGCGAACATGGGTAATATGTTTAGCTATGACAGAAACATGCCGTATGCAAAACTTGGGTAATCTAGTAGCAAGAATGCTGTATGCAAAAATGGGGCTCATAAGTTGCAAATTATGACACACAGAAATAAACATATGGCAAAACAGAAACTGAGCTAGATATTGAGCCTCTGGACACAGACACACTTTGGTTGATAATAGTTCAACACTGAAAATCATCATCAAGAATAACAGCAACAACAAAACGCAGTACAATGCCAAAAATCAGTGGCATACAGGTGATGATATGTATGCATGATGGTGGAGGCTCTCCTATGTCATATCTATTATCTCTAAAACAACTGAAGTTAGTTCCCCACCTCATCAAGAAATTGACAGCTCAAAGACATGCACTTGAAGCCTCCATGAAATTGAGAGCTCCATGATATGTTTGTTTCTTATTTCTTGCACTATCCAAGAAATGCACTTGAAGCCTCACATCTGCAAAACCCGATGCAAATCCATGGGAAAACAAAATAGAAGAAATTGATATCAAAAAAGCAAAGTGGTGCATCATAGGGTTTAGAGCTTATAGCCCAAGAGTATTTATTACTATCAAGTATGATAAAAATGCAGAAGGGGGTGGGGTGTGTTAAACTGCTTACCATTTCTTACATGGAGACAATGCGTGTAATTTAAGAGTGCTCATCATCCTTACCACCTACATATATGTATATGATCAACGAATGCAAACTATTCTAAAACGTACCATACGACAAGAATATAATAGGAGTGACATGGTATTACTTGGTGCATACGAATTAAGTTCACAAATGTGTCAATTTAGGACTTACTAAAATGAGGATTACTTTGAATAACATCCGCAAGGAAGGATGTAAATGATTTCCCTCTGCCATTATGGTCTACACCCACAACTTCAGGCCTCTGAAGGATAATAGATATAAAATTTAAAGATTTACATACACAATATGATATAATGTAAGCACTTCACATACCAGCGGAAATTGAAGCATTGGTGGAAGAAATGGAACATGAGTCATTTGAAAAGGTGTCCCATACAGGTACGTTAAAGCACCGAAATCATTTCTTATAGCATTGTAAGGAGGGGGAAGTACATGTGAATTTGATGGAGCATTCTGTAACATAATTTGAGGAAATGAGGTCCATTACAAGAGCTTTTCAACACATGCAAAAAGATAATAAAAATCTAGGAGTATCAACAAAACACGTATAAAATAATTCGTTATTAAAAATTCACTCTGGACCAACCTTTAAATTCTCATTCAGGTCTTTTCCCATATTTACGCTCTCAGCAAATTTTCTCCTTTTCTTTTGAGACTTCTTTGCTTCTATACACTGTAACAGGGTAAAAAAAAAAGAAATAGAAATAAATGTCAACTGTGCACTGTCAAAGTTGTGAAGAACAAATCACCATTATAAAGAACCTTAACACTTATATGACTACCACACTGAGAAAATAGAAATGTCTCTATCCTAAATAACACAAAAGTGCTTAAACTTTATCATCCTTATCAATTCATTTATTTAAACAATGATGTGTCCCAAGTGTAATATGTCTTATCAAAAAGTTTTACTCCACACTTTTTCCTCAGTTGCACCACTGTCTTTACCCCATTTGAGTTTGAGGTATAGGACAAAAAGACTATGGCAACTGCTCCACTTGGATTGCACATTATTTTTTAACATTGTTAAAGCAAATGTAGGGATTAAAATGTGCAAAAAATGCATGATAATCATGAAAACACAGTAGAATCCCATGAGAGTAATTAAGACCATGGAGCAAAAGGAATATTTTTACTTACCATATCCTTCAAAGGACGTTTATCATTGTATTTGCTGCCGATATCATCATTATTATCCACTTCAATTACCTCATTTCTGAAAATAGTTTCCTGACCAAGATTTTGATCAGACTCGAAGCCTTGTCTATCCTGCTAAACAATTATAAAAAGCTATAAAAAAATTGAAACTTTTATCCACACAAATATTAAACGGAATAAACAAAAGATGAAGTACTCTCTATGCTTTACCCCGAAGGACTTACATCATTCATTCCAAAATTACCAGTATGAAGAGATTTAGCATCATCCTTCGGCAGAATATTTTCTAGACCATTGGAAATCTCTTGTTGCCCCTTCTCTTTGCCCTGCAATTAAATGAATTTAGAACACTATAAAAATCAGGAGACATAAAGCCCTACAATGTAATGAATTTATTAGAGAACTCATAAAAACATAAACTTACATGAAATGTTTGACCGGCGTTGGTAAAATCTGAGGGTATAACATCATCCTTCCCTCCTTTGTTCTTCAAGCGTAGGTTTGGACATGTTCTTATCGTGTGTCCAACGTAGTTACACTTAGAACACCGCTTTCGTTTTCTTTCAAATTTACTCTGTTTTGGAGCTCCTTTCGTCTTCACAATAGTGGGATCACTAACTCCATTCGAAACTCGGGTATTACATTTCCCGCCACCACTTTCTATTCTTAGAGTTAGTCTGACTATTTCATCTCTGACTTCATTGAAAGACTCAGTTTTCTTAGCCGCAATACTACATAACCTATTACATGCTGCTGCTAAAGCTCCAAAACGAGCTGTCAACAAAACATCAGAGTCCACTTCATCTGGTTGTATTGAAGAAACTATGTCAGTCTTACTCCTCTTAGTCCACCTTTCGCATATTAGGCTCTGGGGAAAAATATGAATACCCTCTGTCTTCATTACACATATAATATGACGACAAGGGATGCCGCGAGACTCAAAACGACGACAAGCACATGAGAATACAGAACATAATCTATCAAACTCAACCTCAACCAAAGTATATGCATCACAATAGTGGCTCACCTCAATCATCAAAATGTCTCCAATTTCTTCTCGACGAACAACATTTAATGCACAACTAATTTCAATCTCTTTCTTCACTTCTTTGAATATTTCATGTGTATAAATTCGGGCAGCCTCCCGCTCAATATCCTTCAAAGAAGTTGTCATCACAGGTTCAGAGAAACATGACTTGAAATCAGCAATCACCTCATTATTCCTGTACTCCCTCAATAGTTGCTCAAAATTATGAGTAAATTCAACAAGGGTAGTTTTCTTCTTCACATAAGACTTTATTAGAGAATTAATTGCTTCACATTGTGATGTGGTCCGTATACGACCAAAGAATGTCTCACGCAAATATGCAGTAGCCCACAACTCTTTGTTCTCATACGTTTCTAATACCCACGGATTAGAACCAACATCATGTTCTTGTACAATGTTTTGCCAAAATTCTTCGAATTCCTTGGGAGTATAATTAGCATACATTGCTTTTTGGAAATCCTCGACAAATGGCGGAATCTTAACATTCTTCAACGCATTTTGGTGTAAATGTCACGCACACAGGCGATGAGTAGAATTCGGGAAAATAACTTTAACAGCATCTCTCATAGACATGTCACCATCTGTAACAACTGAAATTGGATGTTTGTTGTACATTGCTTCCAAAAAAGCCTTTAAAACCCATTGGTAAGTCTCAATAGTTTCATCAGACACTAAAGCACAACCAAATATAACCGTCTGCGAATGATGATTACACCCAGAAAAAATAACTAATGGACAATTATATTTGTTCTTCTTATAAGTAGTGTCAAATGCAAGAACATCACCAAAACATTGAAAGTCTACTATGCTCGCACCATCTGCCCAAAATAAATGTTTTAACTTACCATCTGTTCCAACACCATACTTACAAAATAACATAGGGTCATTGTCAGCTTTACCTTGAAGGTAACTTAGTGCAGCTCGTGCATCTCCATCTTCAATCTTAACGTGTTTTTGTGTGTCGAGATAGTTATATAAATCTTTTTTTGTAAACCCAACCTTGTCATATCCCCCCTTCTGAGCCACCATATATCCCATTATATGACAAGTCCTAACACCTTGTGCGTGTAAAATATCAATTTGTGCCTTGTCAGCATCATTCAGGGCTCGATACGCGGGAAACAGGTGAACATATTTGGAAGGACATAAAAAATGGTTATGATGTTCTACAAATGATGTAACTATCCATTTTGAAGTCTTATAATCTAAGTGCACTCGAAACTTAGCTTCACAGTTTGTACGCGTAATCGGCCTATGTGGCTTCTTCCTATCCAACATAGTCAAATACTTTTTATCCCTCAATCCAGCTTTATTACATACTAGCTGACGCATTTTCATATTATTGTTCACGTCTCGTTGAACATCATCTTTCCTCACTGCAAATCCTTTACTTCTTGCATATGTTTCATAAAAGTTGCAAGCTTGATCTAAGGTATCAAATTCAAGATGATTAATCTCATCAGATGTTATCTCATAAATGCTTCTAAACTCCTCCCCTATGTTATTTTTCACATCATTCATCTCATCATGGTCAATTTCAGGACTACTTTTATAAGATAGATCTTCACCATTTGAATTCTTAAATCTGCCATCACTCGTGTTCATGGATGAGCCACAATCATTTTCGTCCATCTGGATAATAATGACACAAGAAGAGAAAATTTAATAATCGTATAGTATTCTTTCTATTTTTTCTTTAATTCTCTTTTTAATTAGAGTAACCAGCTTAAACCACATAAGGCCAGACATGACAACGATAAAGAATATGAATAGACAAACCAAAAGAAAACAGGAATGAAAATTTTGTTTTAATTACAAGTAGGAATAAGTTAAAAAAGGTTTAAACATTGAAACAATATAGCCCACAACTATTTACTACAAAGTCTTTCAGACTAGCAACTTCAGCCAACAAAAGAACACTACCAACAACAGATAAAAAAAGAACATTCTTCGAATAGGAAATCTGAAAAAACTCATGAAAGGAATAACAACTTAAGCTAATAATTGTAATATTTTACTAGAATGAAAATGAAGACATTACGACTCCTTAGTTTTTTTCTAAGAAAAAGTAGATATAATCCAAACTTCACCTTACTACTTTGGTGAGCAAAAAACCCCTGATCACTCTATAGTTCCACACTTCCACCAGGTATCTCTAGTGATAGTGAAAGTAACATTACTGATGGTGTATGTAAAACTAGAAGAAAGTGATCATGACCAGGGGGCACTAGTGAAAGTAATGCCTCTTCTAACAATGAGTCATCAAATGATGCGGTTGGTATTTTGGAAAGTGATGATGACCGGGGGGGAATACGACCACAAACTTTCAAAAAATATGTTCTCAATGTACCCAAATCAGGATTCGCAAAACTAAATGTACTCATGTTGCAGACATATATGATGAGATTGAGAAAGACTTGCCATATGTAGAAATTACCAATGTTAATTCTCAATAAGCTCTAATACAAGAATACCGAATGCAAATGAGAAAGCTTGTCATTGAAAGTGATCTTGAGGGAAAGCAAGATGATAAAAATCTGGTGTCACTAATAGGCAAAAGGTAAAAAAATGCATCAACAACAGAACTTAGTAAGTATGAACCCAATTTTTGCCAAGGGTCTGTTCAGGATAAGCACCAGATACATGTTGATCCCCAACCTATTACTCAGCAGCACTGCTCTACAGTTGTTAAGGGTGTAGTTAAATACCATATAAATCATAACCCTCTAAAGTTAATAGTGAAAAGCAACATACATAAATAAAACTGAGGGGTGCTGGACTTCAACTATGCAGTATGCACATAATCATGGAATGGCAATTATTTTGTTTTTGTAATATATGTTATAAATATTGATGACCCATGATTTCTAGCCTCAGTCTCATTATGAGAGAAATAGCAAAGAAAGAAAGTAGAGTATATCTTATGTATTCTGTTTGGTAGGAGATAAATATGTGAGAAATAGAATTGAAAGAAAAGCTTATTGTACTTTTTTAAAAACATAATGACACTCAACTGATCATTATTATTGGTTTCACATAATAGAGGATGAAGAAGCACATATATTCCAACTATGTCAGCATTAACAAGGTGTACCTCAATAAATTGAGTGGAGACTATTACCTTTGATTGAAGATTGAAGAAGACAAACAAACTGATCGGGGGTTTTCTCTACGATGGCGGCCGGCTACTATCTGGCGATGCACTGTGGCGGCAAAGCAGGGGTCCTTCTTCTCGTGCGCTGACGGCAAAGCAAATAAGAAATTCCCTAGTAAACGGAAGTTGTTAAACGGAAGAGATAAGAATAGAGATTTCAAAAAAAACGGGGATATTTTGCAATTTCTGAAAATTAATATGAGGTGGATAATTTTAATAAAATTCATATTTATTTATCTACATGGCAACCTATTAGTGGAGGGGCATGGATGCCCTCTCACTTCACAGGGCACCGAAGAAATTCCCTAAAAAGTATTCACAAATACAAATAATCTTTTCGGCCGACTTGATTATTACACACATCTCAATTTTAATAAAGAAACATGGCTAAGAATCAAAGAAGGCAAGCAACAACAAATACCTATGATTTTCAAAAGTGAACAAACTGTGTGCTGCCATCAAATAGGATTTTCAAAATAATAATAATAATAATAATAATAATAGTAATAATAAAGCCTGAGATATTACTGGAAATCGAAAATGAATGTTTTCCGGAAAAGAGGCGACTGGTAGCCACAGCAGCAGATTCCAGCTCCTCTTTCCACAATAGCCCTGATTTTGATCTGTGATCCTTCAACTAGGAAGCCAAGGACCTCCTTCTTTATAATTATGATCGAATTGTTCTTGAGGGACAAAGCAGTTCTTCATTAACCTCTACTCCTGCACAACACAACTCCCTCTAACCCTAAATCCAGAGAACTCGCAAATCGCCCACAAGGTGCCGCAGGATTCCTCAAACAAAAAACGTAGCAATTAACCATAGTTTTGAAACTAGAATACAGAATCTACAAATTAAATATCGGATAGAAAAACAGTGAAAGAAATAAAATTTAAATACTGAAAATTTTAGAAAAATAAATAGAGTGAGAACCTTATATGATGAAATGAAAAAATAAGAGCTTAAGTGTGAAATTTGTTTAGTGGAAGGACATAGCACTCAACAGTGCAAATACTTTGCTTATTCTTATTTGAGTGTTCGTATATGTGATCAAACTTGTGGTTTCTCTAATCCTAACATGAACCAACATTCAAATATTTATCAAAATGTTGAATATGCCCCTCCTCAACAAGCTCACTCTGACATTTAGGAATCCAATTTGAATGAACACTCCTTTTCTTATTCAAATTACAATTATCAGCCAAGGGAATCTGATTTTTCTCAACATGTGAATGGTTTTTATGGGTTCAGTTCAGTTTGTGCTTAAAATGCTTATAAAAATGGTAGGAGTAATTGCTATTCTCAACCATTTCAATCTGATTACTGTGAAAACAAACCCTATTCTAGTGGTAAACTGAATCAAATTTTTGAAAGTATGTTGGAAAAATTTGACAGAATGGATTCCAAACTGTCCAACTCTGACAGAGGTATAAATGAACTTTTTCAAAGGCAAATGAATTCTGAAAAAGCCCTGAATGATTTACAAAATGAATTTCAGTCTCTAAATCAGTTTGCAAATATGTTTCAAAAGGAGCCTCAAAGTCAAACCTTTGCTTGTGTACAATTCCCTCTTCACGATGAAGTTGAACTCAAACAAGACTTTGAGTTTGAAAGTGTTTATGGATGGGAATATTTTGAATGTGCTTTTGACTCTAAAAATAAATTTTCGCCTTAAAATGAAATGGAGAGAACACCATTTGAGAAGAAATTTGAATCTGATTTTCAAACTTCAAGAGCTGATTTTGAAAGTCATTCTGAATTTGAATGTGATTTTCCTTACCAGACTAAAACTGTAAGAACAAATCTTGAGGTCAAATCTGATTTTAAACTTGATTCTCTCAAGAGAAGTCAAACTTTAAGAGCTGATTATGAAATAGAATCTGACTGTGACAAAACTCAAACTCTAATGCTTGATTTTAAAACTTTTGAGGCTGATTTTGAGAGAAATTCTGAGTTAGAAGCTGAATTTAATGAAAAAAGTGAGGCATTAGGAGCTGAAATGTTAAAGGAATCTGACTTTCTTGGAAAAAGTGAACCCTTAAGGGTTGAGATTGAAAAAGAACCTGAACTAGAGGCTGAACTTGAAGTTTCTAGGGCTGACTTTTCCAAAGATAATGATGCTGAATTCCAACCTCAAACTACACCTTCTATCCAAGGGAATAAATGTGGTTCACATATCCATACAAAAACACCCCCTTGCTGATTTTGTAAAGGAATAGATAGTGGGTTAACATCCACCTATTGTTCCAAACCAAAATTTAAGAAAGAATATGCTATATCCTAATTAGGGTTGGAAATTGAATACCAAAAGTGAAGATCAACAAATGGATTTGAGACTAATACCTTTTTGATTGACGAAGGGAACAAAACCATCGGGAACTTTGTCAGCGATGGTGGCCGGCCGGTGTTCTGGCGTCTCTCTGGTGCGATGCAAAGTGAGTATGTGACGGGAAGGCAGGGGTGCAGCGCTGAAGATAGAGAAAACTTTGCGAAATAACACATCAAACAAAAAAGTTAATGAGGCATTTACTCTATTGCCCTGTACCTGCCTTTGCCGTCTGTCGTCCTACCCTAAACCCTATCTCAAATTTACGACCTTTTTCTACTCCAATAAACGTCTAACACTTTGTATTATACTACACCTGATAAATAGGTGTACCGTAGGATAATCACCTCCCCGTACCTACGGGAGAGTGAAGTGTCCCGTGGCTTCAAATTCCCAAAAGATAATACTAAGAATACAATTTCTCGACACAATGTCATATGTTTCAGAACTTCAAGTCATTAACAACCATGCATGTTGGATAAAAGGTCGGAGTTTTAGTTCACACCTTTTAATTGTTAGTTTCTATTCATAAAGCACTTAATTCCCATAATTAAGACTTTATTCTTCATAAATTTTAGTCATACAATATTTTACATCATAAAAAAAAGATGCCCTATGGATGTTAACAAGAAGACCAAATCATTGGTAATGTGCTTGGGAAAAAATAGTCAACAATACCCTAGTATTTCACTATTTTGTCAAATTGCGTTGTTCAAAATTGATAGAATTTAGGATGGGGTATGGACAACTGGATTGGGCAATAAGACACTTGGATTGAACCACATTAAAAGATTGAATCCAATCGATTAGTTAGTTCAACTCAAGAGCTTATATACCGGTTTATTTTCTCTTCAAGTTTCGATGTGGGATACTCTTTAACACTCCCCCTCAAGTGGACAACCGGGCCATTTTGAATCTAACCGGTTGACCACTTGCAAATGGACTCCCATACCCTTGATATTTTTTTAGCGCCAACACCTAAATGACCACGAGCCGCTGGGTATGGACTTCCAGACGAGCAATCGTGTTAAACAGGCCACAGGCCGTTGGGTACAACCTCCATAGGGACAACTGGGCTAAAGACTAACGGACCGCTAGGAATGAACGTCTAGACGGACACCTTGACAAACGAGGTGGGCTAAAACAGGCTCTGATACCATGATAGAATTTAGGATGGGGTATGGACAACTCGATTGGGCAATAAGACACTTGGGTTGAACCACATTAAAAGATTGAATCCAATCGATTAGTTAGTTCAACTCAAGAGCTTATATATACCGGTTTATTTTCTCTTCAAGTTTCGATGTGGGATACTCTTTAACAAAAATCGAATAAATTGAAATACAAAAGTACTCTAAATAGTTTATGCAAAGAAAATTAAAGCTCATTTATTCATTTAACACGAGTAAGAAATAAATTTCACATGTTTGGGTTTACTATATTTTATTGAATTTAATTTAATGAAAATATTTTTGAATATTGGGGTGAAATTAAAAAATAAATGTATATATTTAAAAATTAAACTAAAATTTTAAGAAATAAAAAATCACGTGACTTTATTATTTTATCAAATATCCCGAGTAAATAACTAACATAGAAAAAAATAAATAAATTTGATCATATGAATACTTAACTAATAATTGTTAACTAATAATTTAAATGAAATCTCTCTCGATAGGAATAAAAATTTGTAAAAACTAAAATATGAGTTCTAAGTCTTTTAATATCAGAATAAGGGGCTGTTTGTTTCAGCCTCTTAATAGTTCAGATGTTTGAATTGTTCAGCACTTAATGGTTCAGACTGTTTATTTCGTGAGCAGATGTATGAATGGCTCAGACATTTGCCTCTGAATGGTTAACTATTATACAAAGTCTAAATGATTAAACCTCTTATCTGAATTGATCAGACATTTGTCTCTGAATAGTTAAGCAATATGCTAGCTCTTAATTTTTTAGACTTCTTACTGGTTCAGCACTTAATTGTTCAAACCTCTTACTGGTTCAGCACTTACCTATTCAGAAGTTGTCAAACAGCCCTAAGAGTATAATGACAGTGTGGTGTAAGAGTATGTATTGGCATTGTGATAGAAAAGTGATGATAATGTAATATGTTACTGTAATAAGTCAACCGTCGGTGATCCGCGGCGGCACTCCAATGGTGGCGGCGACAAATGGCATTATGGCGGTAATAATGTAGCATTACAACGTGAAAATGTGGCATTACTACTCATATTTTAGTATTTTCATAGTTCTTTACTCCTATTTCGGGAGTTCTTCTTTTTAAATATATAAATTTTATTTTTTATTCCTACACCAATTTTTAAATAAAATGAGTTGAAAAAACTAAAAGTTTATTTCGTTTTGCGTAACGTAATAAATATTTTGGGATGGATATAGTATTTATCTAAAAAAATGTTTATGGGAGAGAAATTTAAAAAGTGAATTGTTTTATTCTTTGGTAGAATTATAAAAACATTATTACTCGTATAAAGTTTATTTGGAGAGAGACGATAATAATAGTTTGAAGTTTAAGTCTAAGGTGTATTATTTTGAAGGCAACACAAACTTCATTAATGAATTAAAAGATGAGAAACAAAGTCTGGGGGGATGACAACCCCGAGCATGGCTGAGAGTTCGCTCTACGCGCAAGCGTGTGAGCGATACAATTAACATCCCGAGGAACATGAGATATCTTAAACGAATGAAACCCATCAAATAGTCTTACAATCCTCCAATAAAGATCATAGGTAAGAGCGAACCTAGAAACTTCCATCTCGAAGTGCTTCCACCATGCTACTGCAATCAGATAGGAGCTCCACGTCTCGGATTCCATTTTCCTTCACCCAACTAAGTGCCTCTCGACAAGCCATTGCCTCTGCCAACACCGGTTCACGGACACACTGTATCCATCCATTCACAATCGCATGAAAGGATCCAACCCCATTTAGGATAACACTTCCAAAAGACACCAACCCGGAAGAAGGAAAAATTGCTGCATCCACAAAACATCGAAAAACATCTTGCCCTGAACCCAAGCTATTATGTCCAAAGGAACTTTGCGTTCCAACACCGCCTCGTTACGAGCTTTCCAAATTGCCCAAATTGCCCCAGCCACTACTTTAAGTTCATTGACCGAAAGAGTTGCAAACTAACCTTCCATCCAATCTGCTAAGCCCAATGTTGAAGGTAAATGATTGGTCCATCCCAAAGCATTCCAAGTAGCAACTGCCAGAGGACATGGGAGGAAAATGTGGGATAAAGATTCAATAGTAGCGCCACAGACTTCACAATCAGCATTCACCTCCACAACCTTTGTTAACAAAGCTGTTTTCACCGGTAAAATATCTCTTAAAGCTCGCCACAAACATACCTTTATTTTTGGAGCAGTAGGAATCTTCCAAATCTGTCCCCAACGTGTGAAACCAGGGGCTGCCGTAGCCACTCTAGTCAATCGACGATAGGCGTTCTTAACCGTGTACACCCCTTGTTTCTCGCCTGCCCAATACCAAATATCTTCATTGCTCAATTTAAGAGGCACATGAATAATAAGATCAACATCTCTTGGACAAAGTAGACTCTTTAAGGCCTCCAAATTCCAGCCACCTGCATGATGATCCAAGAAGAAACACACAAGAAGATTAGGCATGTAAAGGGGGCGTTCTGTGGAAATACAGGGGTTGCTTTCATCCGGTAGCCAAGGGTCGCCCCACACAAGCGTATTTTGACCGTTCCCAACCCGCTTCCTCACTCTTTCCCTAATCAGATTTTGAGCTTCAAGTAAACTCCTCCAACAGTAGCTCGGGGTACTTACCAAAGTAGCTTCCAAGAATGTTGATTTGGGATAGTGTCGAGCTTTGAAAACTTTGGACACCAAGGAATCTGGATTCGTTAAGAAGCGCCAACCTTGTTTGCCCAACATTACAATGTTAAATTGCCGAACCTCTTTAAAACCCAAACCTCCAAATTTCTTCGGCGTAGAGAGCCGATGCAGGGACATCCAATGAATACCACATGAATTAATTCCTTTTCCCCCCCACCAGAAGGAATTCAAAAGCCGCTCTATTCGTTGACAAGTTGAGCGGAGAAGACGAAATACACTCATCGCATATTGAGGCATTGCCTGGGCCACCGTCTTTAGTAATATTTCCTTCCCAGCTTTATCACACCATGACTTCATGTAGTTTGGTAAATATGCACAGTTACTCTCTATGGTTTCAAAACATAAGTTGTTGTCCTTCATGGTTCCGATGTTGTTACGTCAATATCCCACTGAACTAAAATATCCTTCAAATATTATGTAAATTACTACCTCTATGGTTTTGAAAATTGGCACAAATTTCTTTATTGTTTTTCTCTTTTCAAATACTTTTTTCACAAAAGTTATTTAATTTCTTTTTTAAATTTTTTTGATAATGTTTTAATAATCAACTTCTTCCGTTTGAAATAAAAATATATAAAATAACAATATTTAGCATACACTTCATTTGTTTCAATTATACATTTTCATTTTTTGTCCAAAAGAGGATTTTATTGGTTCATTTTTATGATACGAAAATCAATAAAATATTCTCCTTTTTTTCACTAATGCTCATTATATTTCTGTACTGTATTGAGAAATAAAAGCATATGGCACTACATCCGAAAATTAAAACATATAGTACTATATTATTAAAGTTATTACATACGGAGTATTTTAGTAGAATTTTGGTAAATTTTCCAAGTAATTACGGAATACATAGGGGAGTAAGTCTGGCCCGGTTGTCTTCTTTGACGAAATGTCGAGATAATAGGGCTGCGGCCCGAATTAATATTTGGGCTCACCCATTGTACCGGTTTAGTTACCCGAACCCTTCATCTCATTTGTGTGTGTTTTTTGTTGAAAAATCTCATTTATTTTTTGATATAATAGTTTATGATTCAAATTAATATCACCTCTCTCTTTGCACTTTTGTCCGATTTTTACTTTTTACAGTCAGTTATTTTCACATTTGACGTATAATTTGATAAAATATATATTTTATATTCATTAGATAGTCCAAGATTTCTTTCCGAGTTTCACTTGCACGGAAATTTAAAAAGTTAAAAAATGTAAATACTACCCCCGTCCCAGTGTCTTTGTCCACTTTTGACTTTTGGAGCTGTTCATCTAAGCATTTTGACTCATCAAATTTTCTCAATGTGTAAGCCTAAATATAGTCATGTGTGATCTTGTTTGATTCGTCTTA